TTACCCTTTTTTTAATTACCTGTCTTCATATCTTTCTAGAACCGCAAGTTATATTCCGTTATGATGCCTAAGAAAAATATAATGAGAAGATGCGTTATGGTAGAAGGTCCAAAGTACGTGGATAATTCTATAGTATCAATAGTAATTTTCTCGTTCAAAAGAAGTAACTTTCCTATGATGATAATTAATTAGCTAGAATTATTGTGGAGATTAGGGGTCCCTCAAGCTTTTCGCAGGGGCTTCAACATACCCTGGGAAACTCAAAACGGTATGGTTCTCATTGCTCCCAAAGCAAAATACAAGCCGGCGGGATATGTTTACCGTCTCTTCTCGGGAAAAGCGAATCAGGAATTGCATAAGCAAAAATCCACTACGTTACGTGCATACAATCGGTTGCTGGCAATTCAAGATTTTTTGGATGGGATTGATGAGCGGATAGCCCGAAAATCTCAAGGATTCGATCCAAATCGATTATTTCTGTATGATGAGAAGATGTTAAGCTCGGCGAGACTGAAATACTGGTCAGGAGATGTAAAAGTAACAAATATTGTGAATGAAATACTCAAATTGGCTGATGAAATTTCTTCAACGGTCGCATCTTGGTATGAAACAGCCAAAAATTTGCGTGATGACACCAAAACACAGGTGGAATTCTTGGATTTGAAAAACGGCGATAATTCAAAAGCATTTTTGAATGACAATACTGATATATTGGAAGATAAAAATGATTTCGTCATCGAGGATGTCGATAAAACCTCTGACTTTGAGTCAGAAAAATTAGAAAGTGATGCATCCGTGATCCTTTCCCAAGTTTCCATTCCATCTTTATTTGAAAATATTACAATATTAACATTAGCTCATCATTTTTCCGGTAATGTTAATCATTCTCGTTGGGCGGCAAATCTCATACGTACATTCCTGCTTTCATCTTATGGAATTCAAGAAAAAATCATGGATTCACAAGTTCCCTCAAACGATTATAATCACCTTGACACAATTAACGAAGAGGGTTACGGCTTTCCGTACCTTAACAAAATCCCTCGTGCTATACCAAAATACAAATCTGCCCTTTTTCGGCACTCGAAAGATTTATTCGACGTCGATCCCAGCTCTTTCTTGGATTCATGTAGGCTACTATATCGTGCTAAGGCGATTACACACAAAGAATACATTGAAATTCGACTTCTTGCATCATGTTGGTTGGAAATACTGCTCAATTCACCTAAAGGAATAGAAATCTCCATCAACCCTGATCACCGTGGCACTTTATATGACCTTCAGGTGATTTCCTTGGCAGGCTTCTTGGATGATGTGAGACTTTACCTGCGCGTCACCAATCGTGTCCGCATGCGCATTGCCAAACACTTTTATGTTGACAGTGACGCGCCAGTCGCGTCACCAATGACACAAATTAATGAAATAATATATGTCAATAATGAGATTAGGCAGGGTCGAATACAATCAGACGATTTTGAGGACAGCGTATTTAAATATTCTACACTTAACCTTCAATATTGGATATTATTGACAAGGATTAATCAGAATGTGGGAATTGGACCGGATTTGTGGCAATATGTTTCACATGACGGAAAACAACTTTCCCGGGCAATAATTGGACATTTGGGCAAATATTCGAAAAACTTTGAGAATACCACTTCATTATTACCTTTATTATATATTACTCGTACAGCATTTCTTCATTCCGGAAAAAAACTTGGAATAACTTATAACTGTGAAGAGCATAAAAAAATGGAATATTCACCAGAAAATTTTCAACAATTTATGAAGAACCTTGATGGAAAAAAAGGAAACACTGAAAAGATCAAGTTGATGTTATTGTGTGAAGGTGATCTGATTGAAAATGATGTGAACGTGGATCCAAGAAAAACCGGTTTACCTCCGTTGTGGATGCTTGGTGTTGCATAATTTAGATTTGTCATGGTTTAAAAGTAAAAATAATTTCTTTAAGAAAAACTTAAATAGAAAAAATACTGTAATCAAAACCTCCCTATACTGTAAAATACTTTCTGGCTTATGCATTGGCATTTTATGATGCATACCCATCAAGTCGTTAAATTAAATACACACTTGTACTGTATATATCAATAAATTGTACTTTGTCTTTATAGAACACGATAAGTTTGTGGGCATGACAGTATAAAGAGATATCTCGAATAGGTTCACAATGGTTTTATAATTGTATGATTTATAAGACATTGTACAAAATAAAAGAACGTTCGATTAATAAATTAGTTGTATGCTTCTGACACATGGTTAGCAATCTAGATTCTCGGCAAAACAAATCTTTATGTGATCGATATTGTCATTAATATTGAAAATATTAATTATGGAAATGAATAACGTCAATTTAAAGTCCCCGGCGAAAAGAATGGCGACGGGGTTTTTTAAAAAGAAAATTTTAATAAAAAAAATCATCCAAGAAATTTTATTGCTAAAATGCCTACAAGTAAGGGATTAAACACGTAAAAACTCAAGTCATTATATGTTCTCCTTTCTTTGTTAACCTAGAATTGAATACGAGACAAGAAAAAAAAAATTCCGTATCTCTAAAATACAGTAGATATAACATTGTGCTTCCTATTTTTCACTTTTTAATCAATTATATATTTTTATAATACAAAACTCAATTTTGAAAGACTTTTTCTAGGCTCATTAACATAATGAAATTTTACACAATTGCAGGCTATAGAATAAACATTAGAAATCAACCCGTGTCACGATCTGTCAAAATTCTGAACGATAAGGCTAAGAAGGTACTTGCTAATGAAATCGTTAGTCAGGGATCTTATGATGCGGATGACGAAAATGTTTCGTGCAATAGAGGTCCGTTTGAGAAAGGGAAGATGTGAAGATGAGAAGGAATGACTTATATCCTTTGAGGAAGATAAAGAGGCAAACAGGAAGACACGTAGTACTTTAGTTTTAACTCCAATAATAAACATGATATACCAGGCTCTGCCGTATATCCCTCCCAATTAGAAGAAACGTTGATGGTGATCGAGAAATCCAAGAGGATGATGAAACTGAAAAGAGAACAAATAGAGCTGCCGACATCAAGAGGAATTGGAAAAACAGATGGGAAAGAATATTATCTCGCCAAAAAGATACATGATGAACCATTGAATTACACCCCGACTTTTCGGACCCCGCCGTATGGATGGCTTAA